ACTAAACCATGTCCGATCATCACGTGAGATGGAGTAGTTTTCAATGGTGAACATCACTATGTTGATCATATCTACTATATGATTCACCTTCGACCTTTCGGTCTCCGTGTTCCGAGGCCATATCTGTATATGCTAGGCTCGTCAAGTATGACCTGAGTATTCCGCGTGTGCAACTGTTTTGCACCCGTTGTATTTGAACGTAGAGCCTATCACACCTGATCATCACGTGGTGTCTCAGCACGAAGAACTTTTGCAACGATGCATACTCAGGGAGAACACTTCTTGATTATTAGTGAGAGATCATCTTAAAATGCTACCGTCAATCAAAGCAAGATAAGATGCATAAAGGATAAACATCACATGCAATCAATATAAGTGATATGATATGGCCATCATCATCTTGTGCTTGTGATCTCCATCTTCGAAGCACCGTCGTGATCACCATCATCACCGGCGCGACACCTTGATCTCCATCGTAGCATCGTTGTCGTTACGCCATCTATTGCTTCTACGACTATCGCTACCGCTTAGTGATAAAGTAAAGCAATTACAGGGCGTTTGCATTTCATACAATAAAACGACAACCATATGGCTCCTGCCAGTTGCCGATAACTTCGGTTACAAAACATGATCATCTCATACAATATAGCATCACATCTTGACCATATCACATCACAACATGCCCTGCAAAAACAAGTTAGACGTCCTCTACTTTGTTGTTACAAATTTTACGTGGCTGCTACGGGCTTTAGCAAGAACTGTTCTTACCTACGCATAAAAACCACAATGATAGTTCATCAAGTTGGTGCTGTTTTAACCTTCGCAAGGACCGGGCGTAGCCACACTCGATTCAGCTAAAGTGAGAGAGACAGACACCCGCCAGCCACCTTTAAGCACGAGTGCTCGCAACGGTGAAACCAGTCTCGCGTAAGCGTACACGTAATGTCGGTCCGGGCCGCTTCATCTCACAATACCGCCGAACCAAAGTATGACATGCTGGTAAGCAGTATGACTTGTATCGCCCACAACTCACTTGTGTTCTACTCGTGCATATAACATCAACGCGTAAAACCTAGGCTCGGATGCCACTATTGGGGAACGTAGTAATTTCAAAAAAATTCCTACGCACACGCAAGATCATGGTGATGGTATAGCAACGAGAGGGGAGAGTGTATGTCCACGTACCCTCGTAGACCGTAAGCGGAAGCGTTATGACAACGCGGTTGATGTAGTCGTACGTCTTCACGATCCGACCGATCCAAGTACCGAACGTACGGCACCTACGAGTTCAGCACACGTTCAGCTCGATGACGATCCCCCGGACTCCAATCCAGCAAAGTGTCGGGGATGAATTCCGTCAGCACGACGGCCTGGTGACGATGATGATCTTCTACCGGCGCAGGGCTTCGCCTAAACTCCGTGACGATATGACCGAGGTGGAATATGGTGGAGGGGGGCACCGCACACGGCTAAGGAACGATCCGTAGATCAACTTGTGTTGTTGTGCCTAGAGGTGCCCCCTTGCCCCCGTATATAAAGGAGCCAGGGGGAGGGGTTCGGCCGGCCAGGAGGGGCGCGCCAGGAGGAGTCCTCCTCCCACCGGGAGTAGGACTCCCCCCCCCCCTTCCTTGTTGGAGTAGGAGAGAAGGAAAGAGGGAGAGAGGAGGAAGGAAAAGGGGGTTGCACCCCTTGTCCAATTAGGACCAGAGGGGGGCTGCGCCCCTCCTTCCTTTCGGCCTCTCTCCTCTATTCCCATATGGCCCAATAAGGCCCATATACTCCCCGGCGAATTCCCGTAACTCTCCGGTACTCCGAAAAATACCCGAATGACTCGGAACCTTTCCGAACTCCGAATATAGTCGTCCAATATATCGATCTTTACGTCTCGACCATTTCGAGACTCCTCGTCATGTCCCCGATCTCATCCGGGACTCCTAACTCCTTCGGTACATCAAAACTCATAAACTCATAATAAAACTGTCATCGAAACCTTAAGCGTGCGGACCCTACGGGTTCGAGAACTATGTAGACATGACCTAGAACTATTCTTGGTCAATAACCAATAGCGGAACCTGGATGCCCATATTGGCTCCTACATATTCTACGAAGATCTTTATCGGTCAAACCGCATAACAATATACTTTGTTCCCTTTGTCATCGGTATGTTATTTGCCCGAGATTCGGTCGTCGGTATCCAATACCTAGTTCAATCTCGTTACCGGCAAGTCTCTTTACTCGTTACGTAATGCATCATTCCGTAACTAACTCATTAACTACATTGCTTGCAAGGCTTATAGTGATGTGCATTACCGAGAGGGCCCAGAGATACCTCTCCGACAATCGGAGTGACAAACCTAATCTCCAAATACGCCAACCCAACATGTACCTTTGGAGACACCTCCTTTATAATCACCCAGTTACGTTGTGACGTTTGGTAGCACCCAAAGTGTTCCTCCGGTAAACGGGAGTTGCATAATCTCATAGTTACAGGAACATGTATATGTCATGAAGAAAGCAATAGCAACATACTAAACGATCAAGTGCTAGGCTAACGGAATGGGTCATGTCAATCACATCATTCTCCTAATGATGTGATCCCGTTAATCAAATGATAACTCTTTTGTCCATGGCTAGGAAACTTAACCATCTTTGATTCACGAGCTAGTCAAGTAGAGGCATACTAGTGACACTATGTTTTGTCTATGTATTCACACATGTATTATGTTTCCGGTTAATACAATTCTAGCATGAATAATAAATATTTATCATGAAATAAGGAAATAAATAATAACTTTATTATTGCCTCTAGGGCATATTTCCTTCAGTTCTATGCTATTTTACCTGAGAGAGAGCAGCAGGAGTGATTAGCTAGCTAGAATGAGTTTAAAGATGATGATGTGCTACACTATGACTATGATGATTAAATAGCTAGTGTTGATGGTAATGACTATGATTATTATTATTAGCTAGTGTTGGTGGTGATTAGATAGCTACATTATGACTATGATGATTAAATAGTGTTGGTGGTAATGACTATAATGATTATTAGCTAGTGTTGTTGGTGATGATATGATGCAAGAGTTTTTATATTAATATGATGATGATGTTCATCATGATGATCATGATGATTTGTTATTATGATCATGATTAGTTATATATCATAGGTGGAAGGAACGCGGATTAGATTCATGTGGGAGGATCAAAAGTGACCAAAAGTTGAATTAGTAGGATCGTCGTCCTAATTCAACTTTTGATTCATCCAAATAAATCTAATCCATGTTTCTTTCTCACAATGATATATTAATTCATCATGGACATAATGATATAACAACCTCTTAATTAGTACTGTATCAAAAAAATTATAACGGCGTATAAACGGTAGCGCGGCGTAAAAATAAAAATAAATAAAAAACAGAATAGTTGTAGCGCGGAGTGCGAAAAACGCTACTACTAGTTAGATTAGCAGTAGCGCCTATACGGTAAACGCTACTGCTAAGTAGCTATAACAGTAGCGCTGGTAGTAACGCGCTACTGCTAAGTGATAGCTGTAGCGCCTTATCAGTAACGCGCAACCCTGCGCTACTGATAGCCCTAAAACCCACGCTACTGCTAGGCTTTTCCCTAGTAGTGAGCGGTATCCTGTTCATGAGGGGCGGCCCAGAACTTTCCTTTGCGGACCAAGGGCACGACCGAAAGGTGAGCTCACACAATTATTACCATAACATGAGCCCTAGATCAAAGAAGAGGAGTGAAAAGCAGGCTGGGGTCCTAAAGGATGATGTTGATAGGCATACGCTCCAGCATATGGGTTTGTGGGTGAGAAGCGACAGAAAACAATTTCGGTATTTGATAGGATTTTGGAACCAAATCACATACATCGGGACTAATGATCCTCTTGGCTTGGAACTGTCGAGGCTTGGGATGGACTTGATAATTGGTGAACTCGGAGAGCTGATATGATTCTACAACTCAGTGATTGTATTTTTGTGTCAAACAAAAAGAGGTCAGGGTTTGTATATATTGACAGTAGTCAAAATGGTTGCCAATAGGGGTGAGGTAGTGGGGGCTATGGACAAGCTTAAATGATGCCTTTGGTTTTAGGCAATTGTATGCGTGGATTGCCTAGGGAAAAGTGGTGGTCTGGCCCTTTGGTAAAGAGGCAGTGCACAAGTAGTGGTCTGGCCATGGTGTCAATACTATATAGATGATGCTTTCAAAATATGACGGTAAGGATATTCACATCCGAAGCTCTCCACTTGATTTGGCGTGAGACGGCTCTGTTAAAAATCAAGAGAAAAACTGGTTCTGTAACGAAAATATATTTCCTAGTTCAACTTCTACCCTAGACCCTTCACCCTCACCTAGTGTAAGAGGAACCCCTCAAAAAAAAAAAACCTAGTGTAAGAGGAAGTTTTCTCGAATTTGGCCTGGTCTATGCCTGTCACGTGTCACTTAAACAAGTTTGGGGCGCTGAAGCAATGTGTCTAATTTTTTTTCTTGAAACATGCATCCCTTCCCTCATTTTTTTTTGAGCATTCATCCCTTCCCTGATCTAAACTTCCAAATGTAGTCGTACTGTCGAAGTACCAAGTTGGTGCAATTTTTTTCTGATGTGAAGAACAAAATCCTTCACCACGTACAAACCAAAACCCACGTCCTTCCAGCAGGAAGTTGTCCATTTGGCACATCTTGACCGATTGTGAAATAAATTATCTCGAGCGGAGGGTCCCATGGACCATGGTGTAGCTACTCTGCAGGCCGATGTATATACAATTCTTCCAGCATTTCAGCTTGGCTTTCGTTGGTCAAAATAGCAAATATTATACACGAGTTACTTGCACACTTTTCTCCAGAAGAGCACAAAATAAAGGTCAACAGAGGAGAAAAGCCTAGGTCGGACAACCCAGAGCACCATTATCCGATCTGTGACCCAGTAGAACTGCATATAAGGACCCGTACGCTCCCCCTAAACTAGCATACCACACCTCACGTTTCCAGCAATGGCAGCTCAGACCGGAGCAGCGCTCCTCCTCGTCGGCCTCCTTCCATCTGGAATGTTGCAGATTTGGATGTATCTCTAGACACATCCATGTATATCCCATGCTAATTACTTTGCTACTCTCGAGCGACTTCCTTGTTGCTCAAAGATTTGGTGCTGAATCACGTACAATTTGTTGGTGCCCGAAGGCGACATCGTTTACTCGCAAAGGCAGGTCTGGAAGGACCCCAACAATGTGCTGACGAGCTGGGATCCGACCCTTGTCAACCCCTGCACTTGGTTTCATGTCACCTGCAACCTCACAACTCCGTCACCCTTTTCTCCTTCCCGCTCTGAAGGTCCAAATTAGTTTCATGATAGGAAGTTATCAATATTAAAAATGATACAAACATTATTTCATGTATATCTCAGGAGTTACATAGACGTGCTGTGTGAGTAATTATTATGCTCATATTCACAAATAGAAAGTTTCCTCCTTTTTGGTACACCGTACGTGTAGATATAGCCTGAAATAATAGTGGGCAAGCGGACAGCCTGCAATATTGGTGGCCAAGTGGACACCCATCCTCAGAAGGCTTGAAACATGATATACAATATGTCTCGTGTTAAATTGCTGAATCTATGGGAGCCTAGCCACAACAGCCGTGAATATGGCATTCACATCACTCTATGGGTGCATATAATACAAGGAGATATTCCACGCTTTAAATGGTTGAAACTATGAGAGCCGGCCGAAACAGCGCTCACTTTGTCATTCACATCACTCTATTGGTGCAAAGAATACAAGGAGATGAAAGCGTTAGTAGATCAAAAATCAAATATAGTGGTTTGTTTCATTGCCTGCAATCAGCTGGAGTGATGCAATACATCTAATGGATGGACAAACGCTTACATTAATCAAAAGAACACTAACTAACATGGACAAAGAACGTGAGGTGAGTACTGATCATTGTGGCTATGCATATGATTTTATCATCAATCTATTATATATTGAGAGTAAATGGCGGGCTAACAAAAAAGATAAATATGCTAGAAAATAGAGAAAAACAGAAACATCTGACATTTTTTTCCTTTCAATAAACCATATCCATTATATCCCTCGGATACCCTTCTCCACTTTCATTGTTGGTTTACTCACATACCACAGGTAAAATCTTCACGCCCAAACTTCCATGCCCGTACCCGTGAGTCAAATCTTCACGCCTCAAAGTACCATTGTCTAATCTCAACAAAGGGATATCTACGTTTCTTTCTATGAGAATCTACATGATGTACAGGTCTAGGTATGAATAATAGCTACTATTACATATTTTCCTTTTCATTATATCTTTTTAAGAAAGGGATATGATATATATGTACTCCATAGAACATCTTCTCACTGACTTTTCAAAAACCATATTACGTCAAGTATAGTAATAATAAGTAATAAATATTTATATAGGACCATAACTTTAAGTCTAAAAAATGTAATTCGTTATTTTTTTGTTAATAAAGAGAAAACAAAGGACATGAATGTATAGTACAAAATATCATTTCTTTACTTTATACCTATTTACATGAATGCAATGTTGTAGTTTTTCTTTGTTAAATGAAAAGAATCGATTCGGTAGTGACATGATACTATTCAAGAAGTTGTGCAAGGATGACACTTAAACAATCAAAGAATGTGAAGAGTATGACTAAACTACCAAAGCTTTCCAATCTTTAGTCACCTATTATTGTCCATCATTTTTCTACATGCTACCAGGTTTTTAGCAGTCTTGAGTTATGTGTTAGTTCTAATATTTCATGGTGAATCAAGTAGACGTTCACTTTCAAAGTTGATCTATACATTTTAATATTTATGTCCAAAAATGTAAATAATTAAGTATTTTAGAGTTTATCATGACTAAATAATAGATGAACGCAAAAGGTCAAAGGCAAATGAAGTGAAGCAAATTTCACGCATGTAAACTCCGTTTTCAATAGCATATGAGTTAATTTATTCTCACCAGCACTCAATCTTAAGAATGGATGCCCATACAAAATGTAACTAACATTTCAAAATATTATTCAAAAAAAAGTTTTTCCACTTCATGGTAATTTAAAGTAGTAGAACATAACAAAACTATAAGATAAACAATATGGAAAGCACACAATTTTTTACAATTAGACGATAGTAACCTAAATACAAGATCATAATTTCTAAATCATTTAACAACGGATTAAAATGATTCCCCAGCTGCAAACATACCTAAGACAACAGTATGTTTGCAGAAGACTCATATTTCTGAATGTGATCACATTTGGTTTCAACTTTCTATGAACAACCTAAATAATGTAATATCATTATACAACTTAAAATTCTAGCCCGCACAATGGGCGGGCCACTCTGCTAGTTAGATCAAAACTGACAGATCTTTGTGGTATGACGGTTTTACCAACATCAAACAGCCGGTCCTCCTAGGTGTACTAATTGATAAATGAAAAGAGAACGGAACAACCAATGAAGAGACGTAGTTCAGCGTCCAGTGCAAAACGAAAGAAGATGTCTCCAAGTTGCTTGCTCTTGCCGCACATGCACAACTGATTTGCATTCTAGAGGACTAGGCTTGCCCAAGTAGAATGCCAATGGAGCAGCGGACGCTGTTGGGGAGTAGCCAAACGCCATTGCCACAAATTGTTCGCCGAGCCACATTGCTCCTGCGATCGGGAGACTCTGCATGCAGAATGCACAATTCTTTTCAATACTCGGAAACTTTTAATTTGGACAAAAAACTGCATGATTCTTGTTGAATCTCCACAGAATAACTGAATCATACTTGTGCTCTTCCTCACTGTGCAGGGATTTGGGGAACGCAGGCATCTCGGGCACCCTGATTCCTCAACTGGGACAACTGAAGAACCTGCAGTACCTGTAAGAACTAGTACAACTTGCTGCAGAGTCCAGACTTGCCAAATTACAGTCAAAACTTTCTACAAAATGATCTTCTCGTGGTCATAGAGAGCTGTACGCGAACAATATGAGTGGATCAATACCAACAACTCTGGGCAACCTGACACTCCTGATCAGCCTCGATCTTTACAACAACCATCTCACCGGCGTGATACCTTCCTCGCTTGGGGCAGTCGGGACACAGCGTTTCCTGTACGAGTCTCTTTGCAACAATTTCCAAATGATGAGATGCTGAAATGCCTATTGATTGTCTCCAACTGCTAGAGGCTATTCGTTGGTGTCTCCCTGCAGGAGGCTGCATGGGAACAAACTGGCAGGGGGTATACTGGCGTCATTGGGCCGTCTGATGAAGCTTGTCGAGCTGGAGCTTCAGGAGAATACGCTGACCGGCACGGTGCCGCTGGAGGTCCTATCTCTTGTTCTTGTCGGGGACTTGACTGAACTGTGAGTAGTGCAGTTTGTTTTACACCAGAAATAGAAATTGCATCCACTTCTTTCCTTCCTTTCCCAGTGGCTTTCACTTACAATATATTTTTCCATCCCGCAGAAATGTTGTGCAAAACAATTTGGCTGGCACTGTTAAATCATCTACACAAAGAGGTAGGGATCCATATATTACCTGTATTTTTTGGTGATTTGCAACTCTGACGGATTAAGTTGTTCTGCAGTTGTATTTTTTGGTGTGTATAATAAATGTATAGGTTTGGTGCTTTGTGCTCGCAAGAGTTTTCCAATTGGAATCATTTGCAGTGGCTACTGTCATCCAGGACACGCTCAAGACTACACTCTGAGCACTAGTGGTAACCTGAACTTATGTAAGAATAAACTAAATGATTTTGCATTCCGAAACTGCTTTTGTAGACCTCTATTCCATTATTGAGAGTCTAGAAAAAACTGTGGTTAAATGCATTGTAATCAGTAGCAACTTTGTAACTAAATATTTCTGTGCACCCTTCACGCGTAACTAGTGTAATATGTTTCGTATCTTCGTATCTCACTAAACTATAAAAACCCTTGCCACATGTGGCTCGGTAACCCCATTCCACGTGTCTTCCCTTGTTATCTGCAAAAGGGAGGTCGCCTTAGGTGTTTCCGACGGCTTGAAAGTGTTGAGTAAATTAGCAACTTTTTAATCTAATCCAGAAGTAGATCATAAGCATGGTATCTACCGTATTAATCTCCGCGTGAAACCGAATACCACCGACCGCGCGTCATCCTCCTCGGCGACTCAGGGGAACCCTAGCTGTCGCCCTTTCCTGCATCGCCGCTACCGAAGGGTCGGTCCGCGAAGCCGCGCCGGAACCCAGGATGGCGGCGGCGGG